CCTTCCAAGACTGTAGAAGACTGGAATTATATTCCAGTTGCTGACTTTGGCCCTGCCCAGGGTCATGCAGGCATTTTGGGAATCAACTAGTAGATAGAAACACAAACACTCTCTCTTTCCTTTTTCCTGTCTCTAAAATAATAAATAATAAATAAAAAGTGCTTTAAAGTTCACAGAAAAATGTTATTATAAGATATGTTTACTTTTTCAAAAAAAGTTCCTGGTTCATAAATGCACTGTCTTCATTCAGGAAATTCACTCTGAATATCTGGAGTCCACTCTGAGTGCCATAATTTTTCTTCTCCAAAACATATGTCAGATTTGGAGTCATAACAGAATATAATGAATCAGAGAGTCCTCATAAAAGGCTGGAGCCTATAGCTAAAAACACACATTTTCCAAACTATAAAAGAACATTTTTAGTGAATCACATGGACTCTTTTTAAAGGGCTGATTGCATGCTTCTGGGCTTGAAAGGACTCTTCTAAATGGTCTCTGGCCTTGGGCCCAGAGAAATCTTTCTTCCTAGAGCCTCCAAGGTGTCTTGTGTTTTTCAAATGACAGCTGGAAGTGAAGGTCATTTTTAACTGTACCTTTGCCACTAGTAGGCCCACATCCTCACTGAAAGAGAAAGTGAGTGGATGGCTGGAAGACATTCATACAGCAGTCCCCTTCTCAGTGACTGAATCATGGGCTTTCTTACAGAAAGGAGACAAAACGTGTGTGAAAGTCAAGTGTTCAACAAGAGGAGTGAGACCCAGATGGTCCTGAAATCAAGAAAAAAAAATCCAAACAATGGCTAATTCATATGGCCAATGAGGTAACCAACAAGGCGAACTCACAGTGGCTGGGTTAAGTTTCCATTATTTGTTCTTCCCTTGGAAGATGGCCACCAATGAGATTAAGAAGAGCCATCACAGATCAAGAGAAAAACATACCCATGACTTCCAAACCTATCAAAATTCTGTAGAACTCTCCATATTCAGTTGTACTTGGAAAATGCACAGTAAGCTCTTCTGCAGGGTCACATCTAAGTCAGTGTACAGGGAGATGCAAAAGACACTAAAGCAGAAACAAAGAGAAAATGGTTAGTACCAGAGCAAAGAATAAATGAAGGCAGGGAAAACATACCTTCATAAACTTCAGAAATCATCTCCATCATGAACCACCTTGAGACTTGGTGGGATGGCACACAGCAAAGACTTATCATCCTATCTGAGACTTTACTCATTATGCTATGAACTCAAATATGCATAAAGAGATGCTACTGTGAGACACACAAAATGAGAATACAGAGGTGAGTACGAGGCATAATAGCCACCAATCTCAGAGACAAGGGCACAAAGACAGGCACAGGAAAATAAAATAGCGTTCACATCAAGGGGTAATGGGAATGCAGCAGAATATGACTGGCTAAATGTAGGAAGATATTATTATCCCAAGTAGCAAAGCAGTGTACCTCTTTCAACTTAAGAAATATCATGAGACTTTAAATCTACCATGGGTGATAGGCATGATGCACATTTTTACACTTTATCTTGGTCAAAAGGCTGAGAAGCAATGGTCATGCATAATTTTAAAGATTTGGGATGACCATCTGTTACGTTGAAGGCTGATATTTTTTGCACTACTTTTTAAACATTAATTCAATATTTAGAACAAAACAATGTACCCCAATAGATAAAGATTGATTTAAGCTGGCCAACAATAGGATCTTGACCTATTTGACTACAATCTTTTTTTTAGAAATAAAGTCTTTATTCATTTTGTTTGTATTTATCTGAAAGGTAGACATACATGCATGCAAACATACAGTCGCTTCTCGGCCTTTCCAATAAAAATAAATGAATCTTTTTTTTAAAAAAAAAGAAAGAGATATACTGTCGGGGCCTGGGATCATGTGCAGATCTTTACTTATTTGTAGGGTATTTGTGGAGATGGCTGGAAAGCTGGACTCAGCATTGAAGAGCATTTAGCAGCATCTCTAGCCTCTAGAAATCAATATCCCACCCACCCAGCAGGACCAACCAGATTGTTTTCCTAGCATTGCCAAACATTGGCACAACTGTCTTTTTTGGTTGAGGACCAGTGAGCTAGGGAGGGACATTTCAAGTGATCAGCAGGTCTTTGGCGTCATTGCCACACCTGATCAGTAAGTGGTTCAAGTTGAGAAGGACACACTCATATGGAAGGGAATAAAAAAAAGCAGAAAGAACATTCAGAGAAACATTATAAAAACTCTAGAGAGACAGAAGGAAAACCAAGAGACAAGGAAGACAGGTGCAGTGACTATTCTCTCTGTCTGACACCTTGTCCCCTCTCAGCCAGTTCTATCACTGAGCCACAGTGATTCAACTATGACTGAGCACATTACGCAGACCACAGGGGCCTATCTTGTGATTTCATAGTGTGAACCAAGAAAGTGATTTTTGCTTTTGTGCTGTTCATTTGGAACAATATAAATCCTGAAGTACCTGGGGCATGCCACAGCACAAGAGTTCAGCTGAGTTGCTTTGGGTGCTGCATGGATCAGAGCCACCCGTCTCTTGTAAGTCAAAAGGAGGCTCTGAATCAAACTGAGAATTTGCTCACATCTAAAGAGGATTTTTTGAGCTCAGTCCTCTGTCAGCCTTGTGTCTCCCCTTGGAACGATGGAGGATAAAGAAGGTTGTATCCAAAACAGCCTTTCCATGCTGTCACTTGACGCTGAGTTCAAAGCATAGAAAAAGGAGAAATACCATGTACATACATACACACATGCACACCTGTGAACTTCACGAGGATCCGATCAGTAGCAGGCTGTCCCGCACCCTCCACTGGTTCAAGCACGAAAGTTTCAGCTGCAACAGGACAAAATGAGACCACATGCAGAGAAAAGCCAAGATACAACATCGTGGTAGTACTTGGGCTCTAGGACCCAGCTATCCAACCCAGTCCCAGACCGACCCTGTCTCCATTAGGTGAATCAATAAATGCTCTTGGCTTGAACATCTCTGTTGCACATGCAAGCATCCTCATCCAAAAACTGGAAACAGAAGTAAAGTAACAGACCTAAAATGTGGAACTAATTGGGTGAGTCATGAGACGGACGCTTGGGTTCTTCCCAAACAGTGTAAGTGAAGAAGCCTATTAAACTTTTACCCAGTGCATTTTGTGTCTCGGGGATGTCAACACCTTCCTAAACAAGGAAACATTCAAGGCTTAGCATAAAAACATCAGGATGAGCCTATCGAACTGTATCATCAACAATTTTAAAAAGATTAGAATTTAAATTTAAAAACTAAGAAAAATAAGAAAGAGTTTTACAAAAAGCATCAGGATATTGGAGTGAGATCTGAGAACGTCAAGTGCCCCCAGAGCTCTCCCAAATTTTTCCATTACTCAGTTTCTGCTCAGACAATGGCCATAAAAGCAGCTGAAAACAGGTTCCAGTTGTTCCACTTTTCTGAGCAAGACCAAGACAGATGACATGAATCTAAAGTCCAAGATGGTGCAATAATCCCCTCCACACAGCTAAAGAACAAAACCATGAGTGAGACTCTCAGGACAGGTGTTCGGAGCGGTGCTTAAGATGTCACATGCTGGGCCTGACACGGTAGCCCAGCGGCCAAAGTCCTCACCTTGAACATGCCGGGATCCCATATGCGTGATGGTTCTAATCCCGGATATCCTACTTCCCAGTCAGCCCCTTGCTTATGGCCTGGGAAAGCAATTGGGGATGGCCCAAAGCCTTGGAGCCCTGCACCCATGTGGGAAACCTGGAAGGGGCTCCTGGTTCCTGGCTTCAGATTGGCTCAGCTCCAGCAGTTGTGGCTATTTGGAGAGTGAACCATTGGACAGATCTTCCTCTGTCTCTTCTCCTCTCTGTATATCTGCCTTTCCAATAAAAATAAATAAATCTTAAAAAAAAAAAGATGTCACATGCAACACTCACATCCCATATCAAAGTGCCTGAGTACAGGCCCTGGCTCTGCTTCTGACTCCAGCCTCCTGCTAACGCACACCCTGAGAGGCAGCAGGTAAGGGCTCAAGTGCTTGAGTCTCCACCACCCAGGTGGGAGACTCAGATGACGCCTCAAGCTCCAGCTCCTGGCTTCTGCCTGGCTCAGCCCAGGCTATTATAGGCAGTTAGGGAATGAATGAGCAGACCAAAAATCTGTTCTAAATAAAATGAAAAGGAATAATTTCTATTTTTTTAAAGGGGGGAATCACAAGTCAGAGCGATAAATCTAGCAAGATCTTTGGGACTTGTTCCAGTCATTGTGGCCAACGAAAATGATATAAGCAGGCCACTGGGGAATTCAGTTACATTGTTATTTCCCCCTGGACACACAGTGGTTATGATGGTTCTGCTTGTAAAACAGCCATCTGTACCCCACCAACAGAGAGAGCTGGTGCAGTAGTAGAGCCCCCACCCGGAAGTCTTCTCACAATTCCATTAGGCAAGGTCACAAAAATCAGCGGATAGAGGACAGCCTCCAGTGAGAAAGCTCCGGGCACCCAGATAGACTAAGGAACCTACTCCAGGGCAGGAGAAGAGAGCCCAGAGACACATCTCCCTGTTCCTGTTTACCAGTCTTGAGGCCGTGGCTTCCTCCTCCTCAACCCACTTCTAAATGTGGCACTGTCTTGCTTCTCTTCCTTCCCTGCCAACTTCCTCTCCCCATATAGGGGTCACCCTCTTATCTGTGGCCAGAGGTGAGTCTTCTATTCCTCTCTCTGACTGACTCAACCATATTACAACCACAACATACAAATACAGCAAATGAAAGCCCATAAATCCACACTGGGGTCACTTTTGCATTCTAGTCCTAGCAAGGTCTGGCAAAACTGCACCCCCATCTGCATAAAGGAGCTATCCTTTAGCCACCAAGACAGACTAGAAACAAGATAGAATTCATGAATTTGCTTTTATTTCATCCTGATTTTGGCTCTTTAATGCTTATCTCCCATTTTCATTCTTTTCTTGGAAACCTAAAGTTGCTTTTTTTTTTTTTTTAAAGTATTTATAATCATGAACATCTGGAGCATGAAGCCATTTCTTCTAAGTTGAGGTGGGGAGACAAGACATGTTTAATTTTTATGCAGCAATTTAAACATGCATGTCAATATATATTTTTATAAACTATATAAAATAAAAACCCTTCATCCTTTGAGGTTACCAATATTATTCCTAGTTCACTGACACATCTCCCACAATACAATAACTTTATTCATTTTCACGAATGAGGTGGGAAATATACTAAAAAAAATAGGATTTTAATCCCTGAGGTGCCAGTTTAAAATGGAGAAGTTGCCATTGCAACATGGGATTTACAACACCAGCCTTAAATAAGAAGCACAGAGCCCGCTGAGTCAGAGTCGCCTACACAGTGAGAAGATGCTTAGCAAAACCGCTTTTCCAGAGTAATGCCTGCCCTGCTCCTCCCAGCGTTTGCATCACAGCTGCCTTTCCTTTTGTAAAGGAGGTAACAGGCAGTGATAAGGTTTGCAGAAACCTCTGAGAACCTCAGAGACCCAGAGCCCGCATCTCCTCCATCCACAAGGTTGGACAAGGGATTTTCAGCACCATTCCGACACCTGGAAAGGTTGAGGTCCCTATAATTTTCTTTATTCTCCTTCGTGGGAGACTGAGTTCTTAAGAAAAATCTGTCCTCCAGACTAGGAAACAGGTGGGTGCGCACCGGCTTCTTGGGCCTTGCCACACCCTAGTAGTAGCGGTTCAGGCTGCGGGCGCCGGGGGCCTCCGGCTGCCCATTCATCCAGATCTCGCGGATGATGCGCTCGCGCTCCTCCAGCCGCTGCGCCCGCTCCAGCTCCTCGGCCGAGGTGAACACGTTCTTGTTCAACGTCCTCTCGAAGCGACGGTGTCTGCGCACCGAGAGGTCGGACGCTGTGTCCTCGCTGCCGTCCTCGCTGTCGCTGCTGTCACAGCTGCTCTCTCGGTCCTGCAGGAACTTCCTCTGGCGGCGCGGCCGGCAGTCTGTGTGGCAGGAGATTCGCATCACCAGGGCAGCCAGGGTCAGGACCAGCCCGATGCACACGCCCGAGACGAAGTATAGTGCGGCACGCTCAGGGTTTTCTGGAAGTTGAAAAGGCATGGAATGAAGAGACCACTGTGACTTCAATGGCAAAGAGCAAAAACAACCTGCCCACCCCTCTCATCAGGCCCAAGGAGTTGGGGGGTTACGAACACTGCTCTCCCGTGTGACAACTTCATGATGTATTCACAATACAGTTACTGACAGACTTACTGACAGACGGTGACTCACTAAAGAGAAAAGGATGTTCTTTTGCTTTTCTTTCACTTTAACTTGGAAATTCTTTCCAAACGAAGGGCAAAAGGAAGAACACCTATAATTATTTTGCACCTGCAGAAATGAAAGCAACCAACCAGGCTTGATGACATTTGTTTATAGACATGCCTGTTAAAAGCCTCTTTTACCTATTTCAACAGGCACAACAACGTGGTGACTTTGCACACAACCCTCTCTGAGCCTCCTTTTAAGTGACAGCGAGAGCAACTTCTGAGATGACCCCCGCCTCCTGGTATTCTCGCCCTTGTGCAAGCCCAGAGTCCTAAGGCTGAGGCCTAATGCCTTACCCCAGGGGCACAGACTATAACAGCAGCCAGGTGATGGTGGTTCTAAGACTGAGGTACAGACTAAGGCTGTACTGTTGTTCTGTCATGCTCACACTCTCTCTTCCTACTTGCTGGATCCCATGAAGCCAGCAGCCCTGCAGAGCCTCCTGGGTCAAGCACCTAAGAGGGACCTCTGGCCAACAGTCTTCAAGGAACTCAATGAGGCCAAGAGCCATGGGAGTGAGCTTGGAAGTGAATCACACCCTGGTGTACCCTCTGGTTCACCACAGCCCTGGGCTGGCAGCAACCTTGTGCAAGACTCTGACAGCCTTGTGAGAAATCTTGAACCACAGAGCCCAACTAAGCCACACCCAGATTTCTGACCCACAGAAACTGAGATCATGTGTGTTAATTTTTCCAGTAGCAATAGATAATTTATGCAATCAGTTACACATGAAAGCCAGTGCGGGCATTTTTAAATGATCTCAAGTGAACTGAAAGGGAAGAACTCATTTGAGCTCTTCCCTGTTGAGAGAACAGAATTTCTCTCAGTGACGCCCTTGGTGATCTCATGCAGAAGTGCTCACAGAATGAAGGACAGGTGGGGAAGCATCTGTTCCTTTAATAATGAGAACACAGGATGTGCCTGGCCTGAGTCACACTATGTGGTCAGTCACACTGTGTGCGCAGCAGATCTCTCTGCTGAGAGATCTTAAGACTGACATCCCCAGATTGGTTTTCTATATTCTGTAACCACTTAAAGGTATGAATTAAATTTTAATTCCGTGAAGTTCAAAACAATACAAGCAGCTCATTTATCATTTCTTAAGAGATTTCCCAAACAATATATTTCGCCTAACAGCAGTTTTTGATCGTTGCATAGTGTTTTGTTGCACAATCTAAGTCTATCCATCTCCTTATATAAATTATTTCTGATTTTCCACCATTACAATCAATGATAAAGTTAATGTCCTTTGTCTTACACACACCTCTTCAAAAGCATGCTGGATGAATTTCTATAGGCTTCCTAGAGATAGAACAGCAGCATCAAAGAGAACAGCGAGCTTGAAGTTTGGGGCTTTCTATCTTGTAGCCAATAAAAGTCTCTATCAATCCAAACACAGCTTATTGAACCCATGTGTTAACAATCCTTTTTTCCTTTTTCCCTCTGAAAACTCCGACAGAATGACAGTCATGTAAATAAAATAGACATAAGTTACAAGTACAAAGAGAAGAACACAGAACAGGAGAACAGTGGGCGCAATGGTTGATCAGCGGGCCAAAGTGTGGTGAAGGATTCTGAGACTGGATTCTGTCCAGCTGACCCTTGGCAGATGCAGAGAGGGCTGAGGAACCAACGAGGCAGCAGGCAGGCTGAGCCATCCTGTTCTACCACTGAAGAGAAGTACTGCAATAGAAACAAGGGGAGGAAGCTCTGGCAACACAAGGGCAAGCGTCCATGCTAGAAGGTTTTCAGAAAAGAGAGCTTCTGAGCCCAGAGTTGAAGGTGGAGATGGGTTATTGCCGTGAAGATTAGGAACAGTGTTCCAGGCAGAGGGAACATCACAACAAGAGACTTGGGTCAAACCTACAATGAGAATGTTAAATAAATTCTCTTCTTTGGTGGTCCTTTAGGACCCAGCCTATGGCTAGCCTGCAAAGAACACTGATTGGTATTCCAACATTGCGGTCACTCCTTGAACATATGTGAGCGCAGAAAGTAGCAGAACCATAACCTTCTTGGTATCTAGTCATGCAGCCCCAAGTCATGATCACCAACTCACAAAATCCTCATGTAGTAAGCTTATTGTCAAGTCGACCTGGCAAAACTTTAACAAAGACAATAGCATAAAGACTCATTCCTTCATTTTAAAAAATGGTTACTATAGGATTCCTTTTAATACAAATACCAAATAAACTTTACTGCTGCAACTTGGGCCTAGTGTTGAAATTATTTTGTTACCTTAATACTGTCATCTAAAGCCCATCAGAACCCAGTGAAAGCTGCCAAAAAGTGTGTAACTATCAAAGAAAATAAAGAAGTATTCAATAGGATGACCTGCAGCAAACACCTGTTAAGATTGACTTGCCATCCATACAAAGCACAGTGATGTTCAGTACCTATGAATATCCTCATCACCCTAGAAAATCACAAAGAGCCAATTATTTTATCCACTATCTGCTGCTTATATCTCATTGGATGCTTTCATAAGACAGGAACTAAATCTAAATATTTTAAATTTCCAGAGCAACCTCAAGTTTTAAACAGTATATTTTCCCCCTCTTCCTTCCTGTACTTATCTTTTCTTCCTGTTGTGGTTCACTTAAAAAAAAAAAAAAAACAGGACAGAAGCAAACACAGGTGATGTGACAGATAACAAATATAAGCAACCAAACAAGCAAAGCCTAATCTGTGTGCTTTCAAAGCCCATTCCCCTCTCATCAATTCTTACTTCTAAGTGCTGAGGTGTCATCAATATGTGAAAATGCTTGGTAAAGGTTCCTCTCTGGGTAAAGATATTTTTGTCAGAATCCATTGCCCATTGCCACTATACTATGCCAGATGTCATAGGCCCATAGCGATGATACCACCTCTGTTGTGCTTCCCTAAGAAAATAATGGCCAGGAAATCCGTGAACTGCACACCAACCTACATTTACCCAGAATTAGCTCATGCCCATGTGACTGCAATTAACATGCCCCAAATATATAACAACAAGGTATCTGCTGACAAGCTAGAGTGGCCTGAACCTCAGACTCTATAGTAAACTTGGAAAAATCTTTTATACTCAGACACAGGGCACATGTTTGCACACACACAAAAATCCGTGAATTTGATCTCCCATGACCGAGTTCATCTTATTATTTGCACTCCCCCTCCTCCCTGGCATACTTTTTTGCAAGCTTGGGAGGATAATCTCGGGCCAATCCAACCTCATTGAACTTACAACTATACTGGAAGAGGCAGGTGTACAATGAAACAACATAAGAATACAGGGTTACTGAACGAACTACTTGTGAGGCAGCACTGGCACCAGTTGAGAGTGCAAGACTGGCAAAAAGTCAGTGGGGCTAGGGAATGGAAAAATAAAAACAAGCAAGAAACATTCAGCCTAGAGCACTCTTTATGTAAGACCTAGATCCAGTCATGATTGAAATTTAAAAGAATTACAGGAAAAACGAATTTTGTTTAACAAGATAAACCCTGACCAAGGGCCGTGTTTTGGACTGCCATTTTTTTAGACTCCTTTTGCTCTAAAATCAAGCTCAACTTTGTCTTCGAAACCTTCCTCAATTGCTAATAAAATTGATTTTCTGCTAGCAGCTGCATCAGGCAGGAATAAGATCACTGCATTCAAGAAGATAGCTGTTCCCTGGGGAGCCATGGTCCCTGCAGTCCCTGACCCTGCCTTAGTTCCAGGGCGTCTAGTAGGGCCTAGGCTTCCCTTCATTATTGTGCTTTTCTGTAGGCAAACAGACTCCACAATGGGGAACATGCTACCAAAAAGATGATTTTAAGAAAATCAATGTCCAAACCTTTAAGGACCACTTGTTCTTTCCTCCACTGGCTCTGACAGGCACTCATTCTCTTCCCCGTCTCTGTGCCATTTCCCATTCCATAGTTGGTTTTGTGTGGCAGACTCCACACATCCTGAGTCTTAGTTTAGCGGCTGCTCCATGCTGCACAAATGGCCAATGAGCAAAATAACAACCCCAAATACTAATGGCCACTAATGGTCAGGAGGTAAAAGCTTTTAAGAACCAAGTCACACATCCCCTTCCAAGTCTGTTTCCAATCCTTGGTTTTCAACAAAGCCCAAAGCAGGCCTAATCAAGCTGTCAGCTGACTGACCAATAAAGAATAACTTCTGATGACAGATCACTCTAATTTATGCCAGAGAATACAAATTTAATTCAGAGACTTGAGTGGTGTCATTAAAACAAAGCTACATTTGTTTCTGTCTATATATTTATGAGGACAAAGTTTCTCAACACCCATGCCTATAAAAATGAAGATCACAAACATGATTAGCATTGTACCAGACCTCATTCCTGCAGTAAGTGTTCCTATCCTTAAAAACTAAACTAAGCAATGGGGGCAGGGAGTTTGAGTTTCTTCTCTCTTCAAGAAACCAATTTCCTATTTAACTAAAAACTTTCCATTTTTGTTTACAAATTCCTTTGTACCTTACAATCTCATATAAAGTATATCTCATACTGAACTCTTTTACCTCAAATTAGTCAGTTTCTCTCACCCTCTCATTATTCTCCTTCCCTCCCTCCTCTAAAGCTTTCCCTTCTGCCTGCCAATCATCCCTGACCAAAGCCTGAGATCCTCTTGGGCATTCTCTTGGGCTTCATTCTCTGCCTTTGTGAGCCACGGTCCTTCTCCTATCTCACCCACCCTCTCCATTCTCATTGCCATTTTCCCATACATGAATTATTTCTGCAGCTTCCTGGCTCAACAATTGATTTCAGTTCCACCCACTTCCAATGCC